CTTTAAAAAAAAATAAAATAAAATAAAATAAAATGTATCATACTTTTCTCCCCTAATTTAAATTTTGGTGAAGAATGCTCCCAAATCAGCTAAATATGCAATTTATTACCCAGATACTATGTCCAAAAATATTTATCAAGTGAGATCATTTTTCAGTTCAAAAAAATGTAAATCTTATTTCTGAATCTGTATACTTTTCCTAGCATGGTATTTTCCCTCATGGCAACCAGGAATTTGACTATTATGGTAAGTGGATGTGGTCAGCTCTGACATCTGAACAAATGATTTCTACAAGTTTTGTTTACTAGAATCTTACTTGATTTCAATAAACCCATGAAGTTCAATAGAATTTCTTTTGGTGTCAATGTCTGATGACAAATGAACCATGAGTGTTAGTGATTTTTAAATAGTTTTTAATACATGTTTTTGGTCATATTTGTTACCCACACTTGAAGTTTCCTTACAATTTTTTTTTAGTTTATAATTCCAAGTCAATAACATACATATATTTTTTCTTTTCTTTTCTTTTTTTTTTTTTACCAGGGATTGAATTCAGGGGCACCCAATCCATATTCCCAACCCTATTTTGTATTTTATTAAGAGACAGGGTCTCACTGAGTTGCTTAGCAACTTGCTTTTTGCTGATGCTGGCTTTGAACTCGAAATCCTCCTGCCTCAGCCTCCTGTGCTGCTGGGATTACAGGCATGCACCACCACACCCGGCAATAATATATTTTTATAGCTAGGAAAGTATAGCTAATCTAGTTGTGTATAAAATTAAGTTTAAGCAATGCAACAAAATCTCGGTCAAAATTGTCTTTTCACTCAGATCTGATCAGACTACAAGGATTGGAAACCTGAATCATTAGTGCTTTATTCAAATTTAACTATGAAACCTTTACCAGACTGTAACTGTATTAAAAACATTGTGTCTTTTCAACTAACTATAATATGGATTTGCTGAGATATTATGGTATACTATTTAATTTAGCTGATGATTTATCATTTTATCATCAAAATTCATATGTACCATTCCATACATCCTGGAAGAATAATTTTTGGCAGCTACATAACCTGTTTTCATTTTTGCCACCTGTTACACAACTAAATAGATAATTATAAGGCACTTACATCAATAGTGGCTGACAACTTAGAAATTATTAATAAATGTATATGATTTTCCTTTGGAAATATTGAGATGCTCTTTGAAAGAATATMATATTTTCCCCAGGTGTGTTTTTTATTTTGGAGGTTTTATGCTTTCAAGAATTTTATTATAAATGACATTGAGTCTGTCATTTTTGTTAAGCCTTGCATATTTTATAGAATCACATCTAAGTAATCTTCACTATAAGGTCCTATATCTACTTTTTCCTTTTTAGAATGTAACTCAAATAAAATTAAAAATTTCACTAGAGTCAACATTTTTTTCAGCAGTGTCAGATGTTACCTCCAGTTGCAACAGTTGAACTTGAACATACCTCTAGCTATTTCATTCATCTGCTTTCTCCCAATTAAAAAAAAATCCGTATAAAAAAATGTATACCAGTTCACTTGAAATGGTATAATAGTCACAAACCAGAGGGGGAAATGTAGAATAACTTCTTTTCCAAAAAAATACCCTGACATTTATAAATGACACTCATTTGAGAGTCTTGACAATTTGCTAGTCCAGGCAAGTTGCTCTAGGACTTCACAGCTAACTGCACATTATATAATTAATACAATTAGAMTATACAATGTATGCAACCTTTATACAATTGATCAAATTATCCGTCATATACCAAAAAATAAAAAAATAAAAATTGAATGAGATGTCCAGAGCATCATAATTTCTGGGGCCCAATGTAAAATGAAAATGTGAAGCCCTGCCTGAAGGTAGGTAAAACAGTTCCCCTTTCCAAGGGCCCACAGATTTAACCCATGGCACACAGGTGAGTCCAGTGAGGGGCAGCAACAGTCATAGGTAGTAGGCAGAAATTCGGAGGCCAGGTGACCCAGGGCACTAAGTGGTGGCATAGATTGGGTGGTCAACAGCCTGTCTGTCTCTGAGAGGCAAGGAGGCCATGGGAGACAGGACTGTGTTTGAGTGAAAGCTCTAAGACATGCGGAATGCTTTGGCCCATCCCACTTCATTTACCAAATACAAATTCAAAGATAAAATTACTAAGAATTTCAAGATGGTGACCACCATTGAACTCTAAGCCCAGGGCCCTACTGAGTGGAGGCTCTGTGTAACAACACTGGTTGCACCCCATGAAGCCAGCCCTGGGGATATCAGTGTGTGGAAGAACAGAGGTCCCTTCCTGGCCAAGATCTCCCTCGTCCTTGCCKGTCCCCACACAGCCAGGCATAACTGCAGGATGAAGGATACAATGTACTCTCATATTTTAGTACTTTCTTCTTTCTTTCTGATCATGACCCATGAGTCTCATCTAAAGGCTCATGTCTCTCTAAGGGCCTGTCCATATGAGGTGGATGTGTCAGGAGAGGCAGCCTGGTATGGAGGCAAGAATGTGGATAGGAGCCAGACAACCCTGGCTGTCCTCTCTAACATCCTATGCCTCCAACTCTCCTGGCCTCTGCTTCATTATGATGAAATTCCTCGTTATAATGTTGGTTTCCTCATTATTAATGAAAGGGATGCTAGATGATCTCTAACATTCCTTCCAGTTCTATTTTTGTGAGAGAGAGACAATGCAAATAGGTGTTTGGCAAAAGGAGTTTGGCCTCCTGGCTGTTTTACCTCCATTTTTAAAGGACTCATTGTAACCAATGTATTTTGATTCATCAAAGCCATATCTGAGCTGTTGGTTCTGATGTTGCTGCATAGAAGCCAAAAGAAAGGAGGTATGAGTAATTTGGATGTGTGTAGGCAAAATGGGCCCTCATATCCTTCAGGTCTAGCAGCAGATGTGTTAATTCTATCACCCTAGATTATAAAACAACAGTAATTAATACCTGAGCCAGGTCCTTTTATCTAAGGTGCTCAAAGTGCTTTGTGGTCATTAACCCACTAATTCACCTGCCTCAAGCCATCTGGAGGTCAGGAAGAATCTCTTACAACAAAGAAGGATGACCTGACTAACAAGCAGGAAGTGGGTATGAGGTGAAGGGGGATCACCAAAATAGTTCTCTTGGAAGACAGAAAATCCTCCTGTTGGTCTACTGACAGAAATTTAACCACTCACTAGGCTCTTGACATGAATTCTCATGGATGTCACATCTCCTCCTCCTGGAAATCCCTTGACCTTTCATGTAAGCTGTAGCCCTTACAGCTTCAGATAGACAACAGTGATGCCCAAAGCAAAGAAGGGGAAGCACTCCCATTCCTAAAATTTTTTTTCTCTTAAAGAAGGCAAAAAAAAAAAAAAAAGCTTTTTCAAGTTAAGGAGTCTCTAAAGAGAAAAGAGCACTTCAGAATGAGTTGATCACGGTTCTAAGGTCCTGACTTCTTTACAGGTGGTTTCCACTAAAAAGCATCTAATGAAAAACCACACTGCTCAGAAGTATCTTCTGGCAGGTGCTTTTATCATTAGAATCATTTAGTTAACCATTCAGTTAGAATGGATAGTCACCTAAGAGGTTCTCTGCATGGGGCCAGGTGCTATAGGTGCAAAAAATGTGAAAACTGACCCTCTTCCAAGCAGCTATTAATCTAACCAATTAAAGGAGATTCATACAAATAAAGTAAGTTGCTAAATTTATTATTTATAATTATTCATTTATTTCTACTWGTCATTTCCTAATTAATGTTATTGATAAAATTAACAACAGAAAACAGGATTTCTATAATTTTGAATGGTATCGACCCCAAGTCTTGTACAGTCCTGGTGGAAGGTGATCCGTGAGTGATAGAATGACCAGGGAAGGAAGGAAGAGCCTAGGAGATAGGATGAACTGGACCTTAGAGGTAGGGAAAGCATTTAGATCAGAATCAGGGACTAAGGGACGAAGACAGCGACATCTAAGTGGAATTGAGCAGATGGGAGCTTATTTCTTTGGGATGCTTTGGGAAAACCAACCTGGCTAAATCCTCAGGTCTAGAATTCGGAAACAAATATGAAAGGTAGAGCCAGGTCATAAAGTACCTTAAAACCAAACGAAACAAGCACTGACGTGGGGTCTTCAGAGTCGTCTGTCAAAATGAAGACATTCAGAAAAAGAAGCAGGCTTGCTTCTAAATTTAGAAAGGTACACTCGGTACAGGCTAGATACTATCATATGTCACCACAGGAAAAAAAGAAATATGTAATTTCAGTATTGGCTGGTGACCTTTAATTGTGAATTCTTTCATCTCAGGACCTAGGAATGTCCCCATGGAGTGAGACCCAGAGCAATAAAGACTTATGGAGGTGACGAGGGAAGGATGGAGGRAAATTATAGACAAAGCCTTGAGCAGTATTAGGAATGGCTGGTCCAGGTAAGGGCCCACCCTTGATGGACCTCCTCGGCCACAGAAAGGATTTCCAAGAGAGAAAAAGAGAGTAGGATAGGCAAAATAAATTTCCCCTAATTCACAAATTTACCTACCATTAGCCATTGCATGTCAGAGGTAGAAAAAGTTACTCTTCCTTCTGGTCCAGTAATAATAATCTTGTTACTGTTGAATGGATGCTCTTTTGCATCTCATGATTAAAATCAAGAGGTAAGGAAATCTCTGGAAATGGCTCTAGAGAATAGGTCAGAAGAAGAATAAAGTCTCCTSGTTCGAGGCCAGTTGAGGGCCTCCTGTGGCTTCCTGAATACCCTGGAATATATGTGAAGAAGCAGTTTCCTACATTCACACCCCCTTCAGGGAGTGTGGGTCCTCATATAAGTCACCATGTATCAAAACTGCATGGACTCCATGCAGTCTGAGACCAAGTTGCCCCTGGTCGACAGTAGAATTAAAAATAATTGTTCTCACCAAAGAAATCTGTGTAGAAAAGTTGCTGTGAAACTGGAATAGGTGTGTCTTTCTGTCCTTCCGGTTCTTTTTATAGGCACTGCAGGTACCTGAGTGAGGGCCTACAGTCCTTCCGCCCATTTGGGAAGAGATTAAAGAAGCTGAGGTTGTCTCCTTCTTACTCATTTGCAGTAACAACCTCACCACCACTACAGCCTCAGCTTCCAGAGGGGACACAGAGGAGGTAAGTCGGAATTAAGGGGCCATACCATCTACTATAAACCAGAATCACTGTGGCCATCTGGATGGGGAATAACTGAAGAATAGGGATAGCAATATTTGATGGCAAGGTGTCTTTTGTTTTGTTTTTCCCCCAAATGAATATGCAGGGGTTTTTTTTTTCCCCCTAGATCACCTCAGTCAAGACATGGGCTTTGGTACTAAACTATTCAAAAAATTATTTGAAAGAAGGGACAATTTTGTGTAATTCTTTGATGAACAAATAGCAGGTGTTTAATAATAATCTGGTGCATTGGATTGACTTGAACTGAAAGAACAAACAGTCATTAAAATTACTGAGGGAAATCATCCACCTGTCTCCTTCAAGCAGTGCATCAGTGTTTAGAATAATCCAATGATGCATTAAGCCCATTCTATCCCATCGTTCCAGATGTGGAACACCAATAAAAACTTAAATTGAGCAACAAATATTAACCTATTTTAATGCACCTGTGCTGTTGAACTATTTGCACAATTAAAAACTTGGGTCTTAAAAGGGTTTGTGTTGGCAGTCCTTGTTCTGGAACCTGATATAGCTGGAATTCCATCAGTCAGGCAGATTGTCACATATCATTTTTCATGAAAAAGACCCCATATTTATGTTCAAAAAGCCTTAGAAATTGTGATGCAAAAATTGATGAATGATCTGGAGACTCTAAGGAAGTCTGTTCTGCTTTTCCCAGAGAAGGATGGAGCTAAGATAGTTTTGAGAGGTTTAGATTGGCTTTCTCATCTCCTTTCTTAACATCCTCTAAACAACTGTCACAGCGTTAGGGGGTAATATGTGTGACAGCATTTCCCATCCCTATAGACYATATTGGTATGTATCTGATTCCCACTGCCCATCCCCACCCACCACCATCCACCACCAAGGAAGCTTAGCATTTAGAAAAGTATCAGGAGTCAAACAAAATATAACTGGAGTCCTCTCCAGTGTCTGCATGACAATTTGGTATAGCCATTTTTTTCATTTGCCCATGCGTCTTCATTTGGAATGTGAGACTCTATGGTGCCCTCTATAGGACCCTCAATGTAAATACATGTGAAATCTTAAGTTTGTCCCATCTTTTTTTTTTTTTTTCCCCCTGCAGGGGACCAGAAGACCATTCTTGTGAGGTCCTCATATAAGTCACCATGTATCAAGACTGCATGGACTCCAGTGGAGAGTATTATTTCCTCTGTGACAATGAGGGGCCATGGGGCATTGTTCTGGAGTCCTTGGCAATAATTGGCATAATAGTCACGGTGATTCTACTCTTGGCATTTCTCTTCCTCTTGAGAAAGGTCCGAGACTGCAGCCAGTGGAATGTTCTCCCCACACAGATCCTCTTCCTCCTGGGTGTGCTGGGACTCTTTGGACTTGCTTTCGCCTTCATCATCCAGCTCAATGAAAAAACTGCTCCTGTACGCTTTTTTCTCTTTGGGGTTCTCTTTGCCCTCTGTTTCTCATGCCTCTTGGCTCATGCCTCCAACCTGGTGAAGCTGGTCCGGGGWAGAGTTTCCTTCTGTTGGACAACGATTCTGGGCATTGCTATTGCTCTCACTCTGTTGCAGGTCATTATTGCCATTGAGTATGTGACTCTCATGACAAGTAGATGCATGATGTTTTTGCACATGACACCCTGTCAGCTCAATGTGGACTTTGTTGTCCTCCTGGTCTATGTCCTCTTCCTGATGGCCCTCACATTTTTTGTCTCCAAAGCCACATTCTGTGGCCCATGTGAGAACTGGAAGCAGCATGGGAAGTTTATCTTCGTCACTGTACTCATCTCCACCATTATCTGGGTGGTGTGGATCTCCATGCTGTTGAAAGGCAACCCACAGCTCCAGCGACAGCCCCAGTGGGACGACGCAGTCATCTGCATTGGCCTGGTCACCAATGCGTGGGTTTTCCTGCTGTTGTACATCATCCCTGAGCTCTGCATTCTCTGCAGATCCTATAAGCAGGACTGCCCTTCACAAGGCAATGCCTGCGCAGTCCCAGTCTACCAGCGCAACTTCCGAGCCGAGACCCAGGAGCACTCCAGAGGTACTTCCCCCCGCGGTCTTGGGGGCAGGGAGGGTCTTTGGGAGAAACAGGAGAGAAACAGAGYAACAGGAAGAACCCAGAGGGATCCAACAGGGAATGGTTAGCTTTTTGGTGGGTGATTTCGTTGTTCAGATATAGAGATTAAGACTATCAGAATCATGGTTAAATTTTTATGAAAACTTCGTTCTTTCAAACTTAGAACTTCATGAGGAGAGAAACAAGACCCGAACACATCAAAGGCCCTAAATAAAGAAGGTGTGACTCTGAGTGCTCAACCTGAGTAAAGCAAGGCACCCTCTATAAAACGAGTTAACCAGCTCCAAATGAGGCTTGGGCCATGCAGTCGTATAACATCAAATGCTAAGTCCAGATGTGTTGGCTGTGGAGGACAAAAATCAATCCTGGCAAGAGTGGTTTGCATTATTAAAATTTGAGTCTCAAAGCTAGTTTGCCCAAACATAATCTTAAACTGACTTGTTGGACTTACCACTCATAAAAGTCACAAAACCCTGTAGCTTCTGGATTTCTACTTTTCAAAACATTTGCTGTTTACAGTCTTTCAAGGTTCACAGAAAGCAATAGGAAGAGGCATTTAATCTAAATTCCGAGGAAAGGTTCAGATGTATGATCATTCGTAGACATAAAGTAAGTTGCTTATGCAACATTTTTATAACAATTTTATAGTCATATTTTTATCGTTATATAATACCAAGACATCTGAATGTTTTGTTAAGGAATAAAATTTATTATCCGTGACAACAAAGATGCTTGGTCCCTAGCAACATGAGGGAAATAGTGGCTAAATTTAATTATCTGGAAATATATCAAAACTCATCAATTCCTTTTCTGAAAGATCTGGCCTATTTTTCATAATCCAATATCATAGTTTTGCATAATTTTGTGTCTTAATAGGCAACTGATTTCTCACATTTTATTTCTAATGTATAATGATGTTATTTTATATACACATATATATAGCATACATAATGTTCTCCAGGCTCAAAAAATCAACATTCGCTTTCCTTTTAAGTGCATATATTTTTTTTTGAGCTGTAATCTATGGCTAATTGCATATTCAAACTAAATCCTGTTTAGATAAATGCACCCATTAATTCTTTTCTGTTCAATTGACCAAGAGTCGGAAACGGACACTATACATCCTTCCTATAAATTTTTTCACTGCTTGCTGATGATGCATAATCAGATCACTGGGGTTTCTGGCAGAATTGCAGAGCCCAGCTTTCTTGAAAATTCTTTTCATAGTTCTTACCAGAAGATAAAAGTTGTTGTGTTTGCTTTTGTTGTTGCGTGTTTCCAGGAAACGAAAGTTGGAGAGAAAGTTCCTATAGTTTCACAATAACCCAAAACACCCTCTTAATGTTCAATATTCCATCCCCCAAAACACTGGGCACATGTTTAAAATGCTCTAAGGAGTGTCTTGGTTGAAGAGTGAGGGCTTGCAAATTTCCTGATTTGACCAGCACTAACCTATTACCCAACAAAGTTAGAAAACCAGGAAATAACCTGTCATCATAGTCATTGCCAAAATAGTTTGATATTTGGGGTAGGTGCAGGGAGGAGTGCCTATCAATAGTGTAAAATATATATATATATATTGCTCTCCACGACTTCAGGGTCACCTGGAAATAAGTGCAAATATCAAAAATTCAAAGAATAATTAAAACTCAATCAAAAGTGCAGGATTACACCTGGCTAGGAAATACATGCAAACAGWCTAATTAAGATCATACTAACAGTAACTTGAAAAATCCTGAGTGTTACCCTGGGTCATGAACCCACATTGAGAAAGCAGCTGTTTCTATTTGCTGAAAACAATCTCAGGTCTATGTAAACAGACATGCAGCTGGCAAGAACAACGTGCCCTCATTCACAGCACTGGTCAGCAAGAATACCCATTTCAGGCCTGGGATCCACTAAGGAGAAGTGTGGGGAACTCAGGGAGGCTCTATGGAAAACCACAAGGATGATTAAAGGGTTACAGCAACAGACTGTGTAGAAGGTTTAAGAGGAGGAAACTGACAGGGCAGTGTTGAGCTTGATGTGTTTCTCTCATGGACTACCCAAGTCCCCCACTCCCTTCTGTACTAAAGCACAACATTCTGCTCTTTCCCATGGGGCGTGCAGCTAGTTGTCATTTGACTCTTCTGACTAATGCTGTTTGTAGCTGTGGCTACAGCTGCATAATTATTTGATTTACCTCTGAGTTTATGAGGCCAGGATTATTCAGCTGAAAGAAAAGTAAGTCAAGGGTGATCAGCAGAGAATTTCCTAAATATGAAGACCCCTCTCCAAGAGACTGTTGTCTGTTGTTTTCCATTTCCACTTAAAATGATGGGTGGAAATGGGTTTGACCAAGATGTGAGGGTCTTAGACTAAATAGGAAAATAAGAGATGGTAAATATTTTGCTGAAACACATCAGCAAAGGGGATTAAGGACTCCATTTCCCTGGAAGTCTTTCAAAAGATTAGACTTATCTCTCTGAAGTGGTTTATGGACTTAGATAGAAAAACATCTGGCTGGTGAGTGGCAATGCAATCAGGCATGTCACTCAGAACACCAACAAATGGACTAAGTATTCTTTGCCCTACATTATAAATGCCTACCTAAAAAGTGTGCATTGATTGAACTTTTAGACCAGTTGCTCTTCATCAGAGTCTTGAGCCAAAAATATAGATACATTCTTTCACAGCATTTCACAAGCTCAACATATTAGAAACAGGAAGCTTTAACTTGAAGATACCTGAGAGTAAGGCAAAGAGTTTGTGTGTGTATAAATGAAGTATTTAAAGTGCAAGATAAAAAATGAATAAGTCATTTCAAAATTATGTTAATGTTTAATTAGGTCATTTATGAACCAACTAAATGCATATGGGCGTATGCACTTTTTTAAACATATCCTTCATTAATTACATTAGTTAATGGATATGTTACTTGTTTTGTATTTGAAGATGGTGAATTTTGGAATCGTTCTGATTCTGAATAAAGCAGAGCTAACCTCCAAAAATAAATGAACAAATTACTTCATTAACTAAATCTGTTGCTCTCCTCACTGAGTTGCAAAGATCTTAAATACAGAATACCAAATATTTTATGGGAAAGAAAGCTCCTTTTCTAATTATTGCCAGCTTTTTTCTGTTTTAGATCAATTAGAATATTGTCATATCAAGCTTGCTAAAAGCAAGACCCATCCATAGTCAAAGGAATTACATATAGGCGTTTCTTTTTACTTACTTTAATTTTTATATGATTTATTTATTTATAGCAGGGATTGAACCCAGGGTACTCAACCAATGAGCCACATCACCAGCCCTTTTTGTTTTTTTATTTTGAGACAAGGTCTTTCTAAGTTGCTAGGGCTGGCCTTGAACTTGTGATCCTTCTGCCTCAGCCTCCCAAGCCACTGGGATTACAGGTGTGCACCACCACACCTGGCCACATGGGCATTTTACTATGCAGTATTTGAATGTATACAGACAAACATAGTATGGTTCTTTTTGAAGGCACTACAAAAAAAAAAAAAAACTAATGAGATTACTTAAGTAAAAGTGAGTCAATGAGTATAAAATGAGGTGAACCAAGAAAAAAAATTCCTGAAAAACACAGCCCTTCGGGTTCTTTTTCCTAGAAAATATTGACTTTTGTTGGGTATAGTCCATTTGGACAGTTCTTAACACTGTGTTCAAGGCGCACACATCTTACTAAAAGAGACCCATTAGAATGGTTCCATGTAGTACCATTTTTGTTTGTCCTTTGACAGGTATTTCTTTCTCAGGAGTTACAGTGATCTTTAAAAGTTTATTTGTTAGAAGCTAAGAGTAGAGTGGTCCAAAGGTTGAGAGAGAGAGGAGAGGCACAGGTGGACGGAGGCTGACCAGTGCCATCTAAGCTACAGTTAGACAGGAGCCAAGAGCTCCAGTGTGCTGTGGCATGTTGAGGGGCGCTGCACACTGTACATTCTTTTAAAACATTAGAAGGAGCCAGGCATGGTGGCACATGCCTGTAATCCCAGTGGCTTCAGGGGCTTAGGCAGGAGGATCAAGAGTTCAGAGACAGCCTTGGCAACTTAGCGAGGCCCTAAGCAACTGAGACCCTGTCTCTAAATAAAATACAAAAGGGGCTGGGGATGTGGCTCAGTGGTTAAGCACCCCTGGGTTCAATCCCCAGTTGAAAGGAAGAAAGGAGGGAGGGAGAGAAGGAAGGGAGGGAGGAAGGAAGGAAGGTAGGCAGGCACTAGAAGAGAGGACTTAAATATTTTCACATAAAAAGAAGGAATAATGTTTAAAGAGACACATCTTTCCCTGGATTTAAACGCTATGCCGTGTGGGCAATGCAAAGCATCACATGGCATCCACAATATGTACAAGTCTCGCATGTCAATAAAATAAATTTTAAAAAAGAGTTGAAGTTGCAAAGAGAGAACTAGCTTATATCAGGGAAGAAGACAGTGGGTCATGGACAGGTTAAGGTGAGGATGATGACATTCCTAATACCTGAGCAGCAGAGGGCAGCAGAAAGAGCTCAGAATCAGACCTCACACACCCTGGCTTCCAGACTCAGCTCTGCCCCTTACCACCTTGGAGATCATACAAGGTCCTTAGCCTCTAGGAGACCCAGGCTCTGTTTTTTTGTTTGTTTGTATTTTGTTTTAATGATAGTTATAATGTCCCTTCCTGCCTGCCCCACATGTAAATGTCAGGTCTTAACTGAACTCATGTTTGCCACYATGAGGAAGTTGTAGGTTTGATATAAATACTCAGCCTTTCGGTGAATTCATGAACAATAACTGGCTGGAAAAATTAGGCTTTTCTAATTTATGGTCTGGTCTGATGAGAATGTTGGGTTAAATTTGGTTACCAAGGGAGTGAGTTTGAAGGAGTATTATTATGCCACAAGGAACAAAGTTAAACCAAGGATCCAGTTTGTTCTACATTGGAGGAAACATGAGTATTTCATCCTTCACAGCACCCAGTCCTCCAAAAAATATGTCAATAGAAGAAGGTTGTCAGAGCATCAGCCATAACTACAGCAGCAGCACCAGTAATATCCAAAGGCGGCTCAGACAGGGATTTCTTTGTATCATGCTCTGATCCAAGGGTTWTATATATATATATAAATTGGTGGAATCCTCAAAACAACCCTATGATTTACCATTATGATTATCATTTTGTCCAGCGAAAGGTTAAAGGAACTTGTCCCTAGGTGACAGAGGTGAGGGACTGAAGCAGTCCTGCTCCAGAGTCCATCTACTCAGCATGACAGCTCCTGAGTGTGGTCACAATGACACAGTCACGTGTGTGACCATCAAGGCACAAATGTGGATCTGGGGCTGTAGCTCAGTGACAGAGTGCTTGCCCAGCATGTGTGAGGCACTGGGTTCAAGCCTTAGCACCACATAAAAAATAATAAAATAAGGGCATGCTGTCCATCTATAACTTCAAGAAAACAATTTTAAAGGAAAAAAAAATGTGTGTGGAGCAAGTTCCTGGCTTGGAGAAACACAGCTTTATCTTCACAGAGCTTACAGTCTGCTTGAGACTGACATTAAGCAAATAAGTGTGTGCATGTAGTCATTCTGTAACGGTATAGAATTGTCTTCAGGGATCTTTTTTATGATGTCCAGCTTTGAGAAATGAATCTAAGCTGCAAGTGAATAAAGCCTAAAGATACTATTGAAAGAGTGAGATGCCCATAGTTATGYAGCTAATGGTAAGAGAGCAAGCACTCTCACCCAGGGCTAGTGCTTTCTCTAGAAAGTGAGAGAATTCTTCAGCCCTTGAGTTTCTAAACTCTGATGTGCTTCTCCTGAACACATGTACGCTATCCGTAYACAGCCTTCCTCATAAACTTCAAAAGCATCCTTTTAAATCATCCATTTTTTCCAATATCAGCCTCAGTGRAGTATTCCTTTTAAAGGGTCAGGAGCCCCTTTGCAGGGCTTCTCACAGCTCACGTGCTATTTCCACACGAATCCCTGACACTAACCCAGCCCTTCCCTCGTTTGGCTTTCAGCCCGAGACAGTGACGGAGCTGAGGAGGATATAGCATTAACTTCATGTGGTACTCCCATCCCGAGGCAGGTAAATGTGCTGGTCTCACTCACCTAGAGGGACACAATAGGCACTCCTTCCTTAGGAGAGCCTTCAGGCTTCACCCCCGGGGGCTGTGCCCTGAGAGAGGAAAGGCAGGGCAGGATCATCCCCAAAGGTACATGGAGCTGGAGCCATCTGGATTCAAGGGTGGCACGAGAGAGGCAAGGTACCCTTTTAACCCATTCCTAAGCCTCTGCAAGCCTCCACCACAGCCATCAAGAGACATGCTATATTCTGAGGCAGAGAGATGTCCCTGGAAAGAACAGGGGACTTAAAGGGCTTGTATGAGGATGAAGAGGAGCAGGTTGACTGAGTTTGATGTTGGGGTCAGTAGAGGATTGTAAATATGCATGAGTGTCGGGTCCGTTTTTAGTATCAGTTGTCTAAATCTATCCCCTGAGTCCCACCAACTGCCTCTCTGAATCACCGTCTAGCTCTGGCAGCCCAGGCTGCCCCCCAAGAACTGGGCTAGGTCTGTCACCATCATCTGGATGGCCAGATGGATGAACCAATTTTAATCCTTTCAGGCGAAAACAGAGGGAGCATTGCTGAGGGGATTGGATGTAACTCAGATTTGTGCTGTGATCGCTCGAAGACATTCAAAGGCAGACAGCCAAAAATACTGCACTGGCACACAATTCTTGCATTATGGGGATCAGAGGCAACAGAAATCCAAGAGTGAAAGTCATGCTTGTTCAATGAACTTGACCAGGCAACCAGCTAAGCTAATCCCTCTGGTCTGTTATCTGAGGCTTTGCCGTTTCCTGCAAGGACGCGTGGAGCAGGACACAGCTATCTATCATTTGCTGTAATTAACCCTCAGGAGGGCATTTACACAATGAGAAAATCTTTATTATCCCCTGTAAGAGTTTCTTGGATGAGTTTCAATTTCCAGCAATCAGCTATTCAAGAATCTCACAAAAAGATTCTTATTAATGGCTACGAGGGTAGCCTGATACAAGTAGGCTCAGTATTTATTTCTCCCTCTTTTTTATYAACAAAGAATTAAGTGATGGTGAGATGATAATATTTCAGACATCATTCACATTTTCATCCCCTATTTGGCTCAGAAAGTTGACGATGGCATTTCTTCCTTTCCAGACTGTTGATCTCACACAGGAGTATTTAATCCCACGGGCTACTCTGAGCCCCCAGCAAGATGCAGGATTATAAAGTCTACAGGAAACATGAGCAGTGAAAACCCAGGAGGCGGTCCTGGTTAACGTAGCCCTGGCTGCGCACTGGAGAGATCAATGAGTCGTGCTGCCCACCGAGGCCCGTCCTTCCTTCTCTGTTTCCTTGACCTTTACATCCATCGGGACCCTTCATCGGAAGACCGCCCTTTCAAGCGAAATTACAATCTTGCTGGCCACTGTACCTCAGCTGTGTGTCTCTTTCTTCATTCGTGAAACTGAAAACATCCATTTCTTAGCAATGCTGGAAAGAAGTGGTGCCTTGTTAATGGTCTAAAGAAATTAGGGCCATTCTAATGCAACAAAGTATCGGTGTTAATGGCAACCAACTGCTGGATCAGTCCTCTAGTTAATAATTTTTAATCATGCTAAGAAACACATGACACAATTTACCAYCTTAACCACATTTAGGTGTTCAGTTCAGTAGCATTAACTACATTCACATTGTCGAATAAAAGGTCTCTAGAATTTTTTTCATTTAGCAAAATTGAAATCCTATAGCCCCAGGCCCTASCCACCACCATCTGCTTTCTGTTTCTATGAGTTTGATTTAGATATCTCACATAATAGAATCATCTAGTATTTGCTTTTTTAAAAATTTTTCTGCTTTCTCTTTACGAAAGTTTATGTATTTCTTATAGAAAATTTAGAAAATACAGGTAAGTTAAAAAATGCAATTCATACTCCTCTTTGTCAGAAGTAAATATTGACATTTGTAAGAGTTTCTTACTAACAACTGATGATTATTCTACTACTCTAATCTAAAAATCATTCAACTCAGAAATTAGCATTGCTCTTAAAGAATTYAGGCAGTGAAATCAGATTGGTTGGTTCCAAATCCTGAGTTCACCTTGGGCAAGCAACTAATTTCCTTGCTGTCTCATTTTCCCACAGTTTCTGAGGTTTCAACCCACGGTCGACCAGCTTCTTTACTCTGGGCCTGGAAGTGAGGCACAGCATCATGGCAAAAGATGGTGGCAGAACAGAGCAGCTCAGGGGCTGGGACTGTAGCTCAGTGGTAGAGCACTTGCCTTGAATGCGTGAGGTACTGGGTTTGATCCTCAGCACCACATAAAAATAAATAAATAAATAAAGATATTTTTAAAAAAAAAATAAAAGAAAAGAAAGAAAGAAAGCATCTCAGAACATGGCAGCCAGGAAGCAGAGAGGGGGGGGGAAAGGGTTCACAGGGAAGATCAGTATTTGTCCTTTTGTGACTGGTTTATTTCACTTACCATGATTTCCTTAAAGTTCATCAATGACATAGTATGTAACAGGATTTCCTTCTTTTTTAAGGTTACATAGTATTACACTATATGTGTATACCACATTTTCTTTATTGTTATGTGGACGGATATTGAGTTGCTTCCACCCTCATGGCTACTCTGAATAATGTTGCAGTGAACATGAGTGTTCAAATATCTCTTTGAAATCCTCCTTTCAATTTTTTTGGAGATATATATATATATATAGATAGATAGATAGATAGATAGATAGATAGATACAGAAATGGGATTGCCACATCATATGGTAATTTTATTTTTAATTTTTTGAGGAATCTTCAAACTGTTTATCTTTGTGACTACACCATTGTATATTCTCACCAATAGTGAACAGAGTTCTACTCTCTCCATATCCTCACCTACATTCTTTATTTCCTGGGTGTTTTTGTTTCTGTTTCTATAGTGGCCCTCCTAATGAGTTTGAGGCATTTAGTCATTTTTCATAAAGAAACCCCAAAGGGTTGAGGGGTATAGCTCAGTGGTAGACCACTAGTCTAGCATGCATTAGGCCCTGAGTTGGAACTCTAGCACTACCAAAAATAAAGAGAAACACAAAATATGATTGACTTGGAATTTTCTATAAAAGTGATAGCAGAATCCTCAGGATCACCACACCTGGACAATGTGAATAACATGGACATTCCCATGGACAGTAGGCTGATAGGCTTCTCCCATGGTGCTACCACCCTGAGACAGCTAATATGAGTGACYTGCTTTGATGAACCAGTAATAGCAAAGGTAAAGCCACTCCATGTGATGCTCGTAAACGATGTTAAGTGGTGAACATAAAAAGCAAAGTCTGCCYGTCTTGATGTTTCTAATGAGCTGGTGCCTCTGTGCTAATTGTCCAGCCTTCGTTCCTCACACAGCCCCACATCCTTCCCAGGTTTCATCTGTCCTCAAGTACTCATTTGTTATTTATATCGGGACCAAAGTCAGAGGTGCACCTCCAGAAAGGTTCTTGGGGGTCCAGTTTTGCCTTCTTACTTTGCAGAGAAGACAGAATCTTGGGAAAATGGAATGACTTACCAAAGCCACACAGCAGTTAGTGGTGGGCCAAGTTTTCTGACCYCCCAGGCCAGTCTTCATCTCCCTCTGTGAGGCTTCTCCGCTCCTACATTTCTGTATTAGCAATTTAGGTATGCCCCCCTTGGGAACCAAAAGAGATAGTGATTGTTGAGTGCCTGCTACGTGAAGGCATTGTGAAAAATAACTAAGGCTCCATATGTGTAACAGCCTTTTTAAAGAACAGTCRACGGCATGGATTATTCAATAGCAACAAATATTTCCTGAGCATGGGCAAGGTTCCAGGAGTCAYGTAGGACTCATCCCTAGACAAGGCAGACAGCACTGCCTTGGCCAAGCTCTTGTGTCTGTGGCAGAGAGAACACAATGGAGACGCTTTCAGGAACACAGCTTCCTTGTCKTACAGATGCAGAAAAGGGATAATATGTCTTCTTAGTCGCCAAACAAAGCCAGAATCCACATTCTCAATTCTATTCAAGTGCTCATCCTCTACACAACAGAACAACATTGTCATATATTTTTCTGCTACATTAACATTAGTTGCTCTTAAAAAAAAAATGTGCCCTAAGTAATGTTACCAGCACAATCCCAGGACCTAGCCTTTATAGGTAATGAAAAATTGAAAGAAAATTTTCAGCATTAATCCATTATGTTCCATCATCCCATTTATGGAACATMTGAAAACTTACATTAAGCAATGCATATACCATTGATGGTAATTTTGAGATAAATGTTTTTAGAGTTCTAGTCTTTTAAGAAAAGTAATGCCTAGTAGCAACATTCATTAATATCATTAATATTAGTGATAATAAATTATATAAGCTCTAGGTTATAATTTCTATTTGAATACACCTGTGTCAATTTTATTGCAATATTAACAGAACTGAAAACCTGGGGTTTCATGGGTTAAGTAAAACCCTGACCTATATAAATTAAGTGGTATTAATCAGCTAATTTAGAAACAAACCATACAACCTTTTGTCTGCTCTTGGATAAAACCAGTATCATTGATCTTCTTGAGTTTTATTCCAATAATTATGACAATGATTCCTTCAGCAAATTTTGYTTTTCAAGCAGGAGATGTTTCTGTACAGTTGGCTGACAAAGTTTTAAAACCTACTGAAGCATATCCAGTGGCCTAATATCATCTCTCAAAATGTTTTTCCAGATTAGTGAAGCTAAAATTGAACCAAATTGCCTCTGAAGTTTACAGCACAATTTTACCTAATTTTTGACRATGTATTAATTAGATTTGGGAGACTGTAGTTTGCAAGTGTCTCATTCAGACTGTTTCACAAATGGAGCTTTATTGTGAAGTTACCTACAGGGAGGAGAAAAACTCTTAGGGCATTCAGTACCACCACTCAACTGGCCTAGCAGAGATGAATACTGTGRGGCACTAGGAGGAACTTGCTGTCCCCCTCCCCTGCCCCACAGGCCCCTCAGCCACTTTGACATGCTCCTTACCATCTCTGCTCTCCTTTGTGGGCGTTTTCACTCACTACCCACAGACTGATTCTCTCCCTAGATGTCAGATTCCTGAGAGGRACTTGGATGGGTCTAGCTGATCATTGTCCCTGATTGGGACCTCCTGTGCATCATCCCATCTAACTGACAACCAGCTTGTGGACTGCCTGATCTGGCACCTACCATCAGTACCTTCATCTGTGCCTGGCTTGGTCGTGTGAACCTACAGACTTGGTCATGTATGTCTGCTTTCTGTGGGAAGCGCTRGGCAGTCAAATGTCCTTTGGGCAGTGGGGAAAAGCACAGCATGCACTTTGACCAAAACAAGGAGAGGCTAATCCAGGAAAATATAATTTTATGAAATTATAAAATATTTTAATGAAAACATTATTTAATTTCTTTTGAATTTTAGTAGCAATTCTCATAAAGCTATGAGTCTCAGTTCCTTTAAGTATTTTTTAAGCTGTCAATGGATCTTTTATTTTATTTATTTTTATKCAGTGCAGAGCATCAAACCCAGGGCCTCACACATGCCAGGCAAGTTCACTGCTACTGAGCCACAATTCCAGCCCCTTGCAGTTCCTTTAAATGGAGATCTATGAGGAATTTGCTTTAGAAAAAATAGATAAAACTATTTATGAATAACATTTGTACCAAAGTCAATAAATATTATTTGAAAAACTAAAGTCATTTCTTACATGTAATGAGTTACATAATTCAAAAGGTGTTTATTCTCTTATACTAATATTAAATAGCTCCCTTCTGATTTTATTTATTTTATATAAAAAAAAGGTATCAATGAGAAACTTCATTTTTAAATATCAGCCTGTATATATAACACAGCCAATTAGCTCAGGTAGTTAGAACTTGGTTCTAATAAAATAACTGCCCAGGTAGAGTTAATATTTCCTTTACTCTTTTTTTTTCCTGATTTGAAACATCAAGATTTGTTTCCCTCCACATTAAATTTCATGATCTCCCCTTAAGCTTACAGGACTTTCTAATTATGCTTCATTTCAACCTATGTTTGGGTCAAGCTAAAATTTTTTCATTCTGTCTATTCATTATTCCTTTTGTCTTGCTAAAATTTCCCTTTTTCTAGAGTAATACATAATCACTTTTTTTTTTTTTTTGTACCAGGAATTGAACCCAGGGCACTTAACCACTGAGCCACATCCCCAGCTGTTCTTGTATTTTATTTAGAGATAGGATCTCACTAAGWTGCTTAGGGCCTTGCTAAATTGTGGAGACTGGCTGTGATTTCATGATCCTCCTGCCTCAGTCTCCCAGCCACTAGGATTACAGGCATGCGCCACCACACTCGRCTGAGTAATACCTATTTTATATTGGCCAAATCTATGCCATCTTGTCCTTCCATAATCAATTTGGAATCCACCTTTTCCTAGAAACTTTCTCTGCTGATGTGGGGAGATGGGGTTGGCACATACCAAACTGCACTTCAGTTCTGGAAGAATGAAGGAGGCAAGATACTTCTGGGACATTCTCCTCAGAATAAGCCTAATCATCTACTTTAAAAGAACACAATTAATAAAACTAAACTAGAAAGTCTCCTTTTGATTCCTTGACACAAAAGCCTCTATATTTTGCACCTGGGGGAGATGCTTCCAAACCAACAGTAATCGCACAGACCTGAACTTATAAGAAGATGCATCTAACACCCGAATAAAGACTTTTTCCTGGGTCTGTTCAAAATGTCATAATGGGCCAGGTCAATTTTAAGCCCTGGTCTCTTGTGAGACTTGTGTTTGCCACTATTCAAACCATGTTTTAAATTGAATTTGTGTTTTAGCATATATCTTGTATATACTTATTCAAGATAGTTATCTTAGGGGGCACAAAGATTCTACATTGCTTAAAACATGTACGAGTTCTGAA